AGAAATATTAGAGAAAACCTAGATTGGTTACTTAAAAATGTGTTCGGTAGTTCTTCTTCGTAGAATTGGTTGAAATTGTTCTATTATAAAAGATAGCTAGCTATGACCTACCACTAGGCGGCCTTCGCACTTTGTTTTGAGGTATGCCGATCTGTTGAGATCTACTTCTACATCCAGAAACTGTGTAGTGGACAGTCCAACAAATGATGGCGGGAACTCCAGCACCTTGAATCTTTGGAACACTTTGTCCGGATCATAATCAGGACATATCGGCATGATTTTAGCACTAACTAATAGTGTTAAAATGAAAAATAAATAAAAATATTTCTGCTGTCAACTTTTTGTTGACAAATATCTACGTCAATAACTTTGAAGTATGTTAGAGCGGGCAAGGACGTTGGGAAATCGCGTAACTTACTGTGGAGTTTCGGTTAAAATGAGGTCTTATGAGAAATAAGAAAGTAGTTTCTTAGGTTAAGGTTACACTAGTCGATATTTTTTCCATAGAAAGTTCGGGGCGGTATTACTCCACAGTGTGAATTTGTACCTCCAAAATTAAACACGACAACGTTTTATCTTGTAATTACACTTGTCGGTACGGAAACAAAAAAAAATAAAAAATAACGATTAAAAAGTTATGAGCCACCAAAGTTTTGTTTTTCACGACAATTTTGACGCAACTTTGGGTGTTAAAAAGTACCACTAATCGTGTAAAATCTCCAAACCGTAAACCGTACCGACACAGCACAATTACCAGAGAGTTCTATAAAATTTATTTCAAATTGATCTAAGCAGTGGTTTTTTCAAAAAACGCTATTTTCTAAAGCACTAAATCGTACTTTTATACGCACTCGTTTTACGATGAATTATCGTGCATTTCATTTGATAAAATTCCCCCGGCAGCGGCGCGGGGCGGAGGAAAGACGCTCACGCGTTTTTGCACAATTTTTTGCACAATTTTTTGCACGACAGCTAATGTCGTGCAAATCATTAGACTATTTTCTATTGTTTTTACCGACTTCATAAAAAGGAGGAGGTACTATGTTCGGCTGATTGTTTTTTTTTTTTTGTTTGTTCGCGCAGTACTCCGCCGTTTGTAAAACGATTTCGAAAATTCTTGTTTTGTTTGAAAGGGTATACTCCCGAGATGGTCCCATTTCCATGAAGTCAGGATCTGATAATGGGATCCTAGGGAAACCGAGGGGAACTTTCGAAAATTCTATGGAGAAAGTAATGCGTCTATTATGTTTTTCAATTACGATTTTTAAACACTACAATTTCATATGGGTTTGGAGTCGACCTGATGATGGAGTCGACAGACAGTCGAGGGAACTCCTCAGCGGTTTATATTAACTACCTTGTGTTTGGGCTTGATTAATTTGTATTGATGAGGACTTTACACCTAAATAGAGTGGGGCTGTCATTAAGGGTCTGATGATGAAGAAGTGTAATTGTTAAGGGAACTCCTCAACGGTATACTGTAACTACCTTGTGTTTGGGCTTGTATAATTTGTATTGATTAGAACTTTGCACCTATATATATTATAAGTTACAAAACGGTTATATGTAGCTTTACACTGAAAATGATAAAATAATAAAATAAAAACTGCGTTTAAAAAACCGACTTCAAAAAACTTTTTTGTTTTTTGTTTGTTTTGGACTTGGTCGACTTAGTCTGCTGCTGTGGCCTACGTGGTTTGTATCGTATGTATAGACTATTCTCCTTACCCTTATCTTACGACTGGAGCTTTGCGACCGGTGCGGTGGTGTGGTGTCGATAGGTAGGATAGGAGTAGGTCTATACCTACACAAGATGCCCTTTATACGATGACACGATCGTACCCTATTTATTAGGTAGGTAGGTACTAAGGTATTATTCGCGGTACGTAAGTTGAACAAAAATATTATTGTTAGTTATCAACGAAGCCACGAGTAAGTACCTACCTACCTATATAAAAGCTTGTAAGTAAACTGTCCGTAGGTATTATGGTGCGAGGTGTACGATACTTATATTATTATCGTAAAATCGATATACCTATACTAAACAATGTAAATAAATTGCAGTGTCAGTTTGTTCCAAATATAAAAATACCTTCCTACATAGATTTTTTCATACTCACACGGCTATTTGCACGATAAGTAGGTAAAAAAACTACTTATACCTTTGGACATAGGTACCTACGTAAAACAAACAGAAAGACCGATAGACAGAAAAAACAAATAAATAGTTTTTAAACCCATTTTTAATTTAATTATTTTTGTATTTTTCCTATTTATTTTTCCGTCTGTCTGTCTTTCTATTTGTTCAGGTCAATGTTCAATTCGGATAGACCGAATTGATATTTTACTAGCAGATACACTACGTTTACGTACCTACGGTACCTATGCTTTTTTAGCCATCCTTCCTAAATAATACCTAAGTAATAATAATATTCCACAATATCACACAACTTTGTACCTACCCTGTCCAGTCCCAAACTAAGCAGAGCTTGTGTTATGTGTAGGTACCTACTAGACAACAGATATACATAGGTACTTAGAGGTATATTTCTAAATATTTCCATAAAAATAATTAGATAAAAACACCCAGACAGAAGAAATGATCATGCTTATTATAAATCAAACTTTACCTCTTTAGGCTCTTTATAATAAATTGTTGTAGATTACCGCAAATAGGAATATTGATAATATCAACCGCCAAGCCGAATGTTTTCGCACAAAATACATAGGTACAGAAGTCAATCTCATTTAGGTATGTACCTGCTTCACTGTTTATACCTACGTGCTCGAGCGCGCTTTGTATGTAGTTATACCATAGAACTAACTAGGTACCTTTATATTTTGTGGCTATCGTGCTCCGTGAGAACTCGATTGGGGTTCTCAACTATACTTTTTATTACGTTTCTTACTTTATTTTTAGCAAGTAAACATACTTTTAGGTAATTACCTACTTTTACGAAAACTAAACAAATACAACAAATATTGTAGGTACCTATTAGGTTTAGTAGGTACATAAAGTTATTGGTACTTAGAAAAAAAAGTAACTGTTTACCTACAGAATTATATCCCTAGCCTTTCGTAGACGCCGGGGTCGTGCGGTCCATGGCCCTCTACGGCGCCCCTGTGTGGGCGCCGAACCTGCTGCAGCGGCCCGCTCGGGCGCTGCTTATGGCACAGAGGGTCATGGCGATCCGAATGATCCGCGGATACCGCACGATCTCTGGGGAGTCGGCGAACCTCCTTGCCGGATTACCGCCGTGGGATCTGGAGGCGAAGGTGCTCGCGCGCGTGTATCGCATGCGCGCGGAGGCACGTTGCCGGGGTGAAACTCCGCTGCCGCGCCAGATAAGTGCGTGGCGGGATGAGCTCCGGCGCGATCTCATGGCGGAATGGCAGCAACGACTGTCGCAACCGAGGGCTGGGCTCGCTGCCATTGCAGCGGTAAGTCCCCTCTTTGAGGAGTGGCTTGAGAGACGCTACGGCGTCCTCACCTACCGCCTGACGCAGGTCCTCACCGGACATGGAAGTTTCGGGAGGTACCTGTGTCTGATGGGGCGGGAGGAAACGCCCGGGTGTCATCACTGCGAGGACCACCCTGAGGACACGGTGGAACACACTGTTGCGGAATGCCCTGCGTGGGCTGAGCACCGCCGTGCCCTCAGGGAAGTGATCGGCGATGGAGACCTCTCGCGTCCGGGCCTAGTTCAGGCCATGATGCGGAGCGAGGGGGACTGGGATGCCGTCTCCTCCTTTTGCGAAGCAGTCATGCTGGCTAAGGAGGAGGCGGGACGCGTGAGGCAGCGAAGCGCTGCCTCCTCGCAACCCAGCCATCGCGAAGGACACACCGGGCGTCGGGGATCGCGGGACGATCTCCGGCCACCGTAAGCGCGGGCCTGCGGACGGCGAGCATGGGTGGCTCCCCGTCCGACCAGAAACAGACCCGAGCGTACGGCGCGTCACGTTCCGCGCGCGCCTCAAAGAGCCATCAGACCACCACAGATGGGGCCCAATAGGGCCGATGCCGATTCGGAGTCGCGGAGAACCTAACGGGTAACCGGGGCTCCGGCTCGACGTGCAGGAGAAGGAACGGGGTGGTTTTTAGTCAGTAAGAGTCTGACACTCCCTTCCGCCTCACCCAGGCGGGAGCAGTCATTCGATGATTTTCCCCCCTTAAAAAAATAAAAAAAAAAAAAAAAAAAAAAAAAAGCCTTTCGTAGATTCTTCGGATATTGTGTTATCAACTTATCATAAAAAAAATAAAAAAATCAGTAATTACAATGCTTTACTACGAGTAAACACTCACAGCACAGATATATGCACCGTTCAGTGACGTTTTGCTGTGTTTGTGTGCGTGCGAACAATACGTCGTGCAAATAGATAGCGTCTAACTGCTCATCACTGGTACTATTTCTGTCGCACACGATGTTAGATGAGACAGCGCGCTTTTTGGCCACGCCCTTGATTGAGTTCGAGCCCGCGACTAGTTTAACCTTAAGTCTTGACCCTTGTAGTTTTAGGCTTTAGGCAAGGACGGTGAAAAGTTTAATTTAAGTATATTTTTGCCACGGTCAGGTACTGTTAATCTACTTAGCTCAAGAATTGTTGGTATTCCAAGGAGGTAATCTGTAAAGCTAAGGATTTTTATTTTCCATATTCAGTCTCAACCTAAATATTAAAAAGTAAAAAGGAAAATATTGTTACGGATTCAGAATTTCTTTCATCACAATGACTAGATGACTAGAAACGAAGTGCCCCGCGAACGGGATAACGTGCTAGAGTAATATTGTAGATGGATGTAAGTACCCGGGGTGTGTCGTACGACTTCAGCAAATTAGTTCGGGGCGGGGGAGCCGCGCTCGCCGCCGCGCCTCCCCGCTCGCCCCAGGGTTTATCAGATTCAGGGGGTAAAAAATGACTTCTCAATGGGAGGCAGGAGGGCGGCGCGGCGCGAGAGTGCGGCGGCGAGGGGCGGGCGTGGGCGGCGCCGCCACGTGGCTCCGGCTTTCGGCCGCGTCGCGACGCCCGCTGCAGCCGCTCCTTGCACGCGTTCGGGAGTCCGGGACCATGCACAGGTGTTCGTCTGAGAGTGTTGTTTACGCGGCTCGGGATGCTAAGGCGTGAAGGCGTTGGATGTTTACAGTGTGTTTATGGGACATAGTGAGGAGTTGATGGAGGCTGAGTACAGCGAGGTGGTCGCGGGTTGCGAGGCGCGGCGCGACGCTCCCATGGACGCTACGCTCGACACCATGCATCCGTTGGACCCGCCGCCGCCCGATGTCCTGCTTGCTCTGCTCGCCAGGAACAAGGCGCTCGAAGGTAGACCTCCCTGTTGATCTTACCTAATTACCTGTCTCCTGATGTTACAGCTTGGAATCTGGATTAATATATGGCAGCAATCATAGTTATTGTTGACGACTTCTATAGATCACTTCATTACAGTCGTCACAAAATAAAAAATGAAATAGAATTAACCTCTTATTTTGTGAGTCTAGAATGTGGGCACTTGAAAAGTAGAGGAAATATTTTTAAATCATTGCTGTATTTTAATGAAATGATGAATAAGTGTTCTACTGCACTCAATTCATTATTCACATGTACCTAAACCTACAATTATTTAATACTGCGTACTGAGTGCTAGGTAAAAACAAAGTTAAATAATATTTTATTACCAATAGTCTTTACGACAGGCAATAAGGAAATAATAATTTAAGTAATTAAGCAAAAACTTAATTACAATAAATACGATTCGTTTATAATTTTATAAAATTGTAAAAATGCAAATACACTTTAATACTACTTACTTATAAGATACATTTTGTCAAAAAGTTTTAAATGATTGTACTTAATTTAGACAATTAGAAAGAATTAAAGTTACCTAAATATTAAAATTGTCTATTTAGTCTTATACTGAAAATACATATTATTATAATGTATCTATTTGTCTTTATTGTAAACTAGCTGTGCCCGCGACTTCGTCCGTGTGGAATAGATTCACAGCTCCTCCCCCGTAATAATAATTATGTAGCTTATATGTGGACCCGACCTGTTAATAATATCCATGAACAATTTGAAGTAAATCCATACAGTACTTTTTGAGTTTAGCCCGGACATACATAGGTACAGACAAATAGACAAAAAAATCCAAATAACATATTTATGGCTTCGATATCGATTGTACATCCCATAAGCATTCTTTTAAAAAATTTTCAATGTACAGTTTTCACTTTCCTACAATTTTATTATATGTATAGATAGAGGTAGATTGACAAAATTGAAATATCGTCAGTGATAGAAAGAACTGCTATGCCGTACCAGTTTCATAATAAGAGGCTGCTGAAGATATCGCCGCGGCCAGTAGCACTTCCTTAAGTTGCCTTTGAATATTAATTTCTTCATGTAGGTAGGCTTTGGTCATCAATTGACCTTTTTTGAACTATATTTTGTATAAGGACAATCTTTACTACGCATTGTTTCTATTTTTACAGTTTTAGTAAGTACCTACTTACGTTCGATTGATTTCGGTATAGCAATATTAACGAATATTCTCTTTCTTGCTCTTGTCTGTTTTCTTCTTTCTATAGCATGAATGTATGTTAAAATGTGCGAAGAACATGAAACATATAATATACACACAAAAAACTTGTGAAATAATGTTTTTTAAATAACGTACTGTTGTTTGTGAAATAAAGAATTTACCTAATTTGATTCTCCTTATTCCTCCTTCAAACATCAACAGCCAATCTTAATTAATTTAATTTTACACACTTAAAATTACATATTACATATAACATAACATCACGCCTTTTATCCCCGAAGGGGTAGGCAGAGGTGCACATTATGCCACTGTACAATGTAACACCCACTTTTCACTATTTATGTTACGAGTCCCATGTAATAGGGAGTGAGCCTATTGCCATATACCGGGACACAATTCCAGACTCCGTGCTACTACTGAGAATTTTTTTAAAACCCAGTAATACTTTGCCTGACACGGGAATCGAACCCGAGACCCCTTGCCCGGCAGTTGCACTTATCTTACACTTAAATTGTAATAATATATTTATGACCGATTTAACAATTATGCATGTTCTTGCATAATTGTTAAATCGGTCTATTATTACCATAGTAAGTTTATGAATAGCAAATAAGTAGTTCTTTCAGTGACAGTGGGTATGCGACATAATAATTTTCAACTGGGTCACACATTACTCAAAAGCTATTGATAATGATGGCTGATTCTGAAACTAGTGACATCGCAAACATGAACAACTGCACATGATGCATAGCATGAAATAATATAATGTATAAAAAGAAGCCAAGTTTAATAGCACTTTCCTTTTTAAAGAATTTTAATTGTTGTTGGCATTTTAACGGAGAATCGACAATAAAATTCTACCTTCAGTTATGCTGTGTACTTAGTTGTTATTCACGATCACGATGCGATCATTTATTTGCTGTATATTTACAACAGGGTTTGCTGTAATTCTTGATTGCCAAAAACTGACAACTTTTATTTTCTATTTAATATCTTTTTTTAAATAATATTTGCTTCGTTGACTGTGGTGGCAAGTGCAACGGCAAGGGGTCTTGGGTTCGGTTTCCGGGTCAGGCAAAGTATTAATAGATTTAAAAAAAATTGTCAGTCTGGAATTGTGCCCGGTTTATGGCAATAGCCTCTGCCCCTATTACATGGAATACATAACATAAATAGTGAAAACTAAAAACATTGTACAATGGGACTAAGTGCTATAATGTGCACCTCTATCTACCTCTTCGGGGATAAAAGACGTGACATTATCTAGGCAGGAAACCAGTGATCAAGGAGCTGGTCTAAAATCCTTGACGCCGGATGTCTCTTTTCTATATGTGTTCGATCCAAGCAAATAAAATATGTTCGTATGTATTTTCTTATAATAGAAAACCACTACCAATCCAAAGCTTTTATCTTCAAAATGATGTAAATTTATCGGAAGAACACCAATCGATATATCGACACCAAAAAGAAGCAACAAATAACGATAAAATGTATAAGATTTGTAAAAATAAAAGTACTCATACTCTATGCTCAGTCGTATAATTATGAGTCTATGGCCACGTGTTAGGGTTTTACTGAAGGACGTGGCACGCGTAGGGGCGGCCTTCCTTCCTATGGGTTTTCACCCACGCACACCATATGACTTCGAATAATCAAGTTAAGTGCTCCACACAGGAGTGGCGATGGACTTTTTTGATTTTAACACCAGACAAGAGCGTAGTACATTGTACTCGAACTACTACGTCGAGTATGCTGATAATGCGTCAATTAGTAAATTGACGAACGCCTGTTTGTTTGTATATATGTAGCTGTTTTGTTTTTTTTTTTAAGTGATGAAATGTAACATTCGGGAAATGCTTGTAATCCACATTAATGTTGACTTGGATATGTTCTTAATAAAAGTAATGAAAAGTTGTGTACGCTATGTTTTAAAAATAACTGGATTAGATTATTTTTTTATCTGAACTAACTAATAAAATACATAGATAATTTGTGCCTAAGTTGTTTTTGAAAGCGGTGATTTATTCTTTTTTTACCCCAAAATGCTAAAATTAGTTTTATAGTTTCTAGGCTATCATTATCTTATTGATTGTGATTAAATACCATATCATGCATGCTTCTCATGCATGAGGGTGCGGGGTTTGCAACCTACCAACGTCAAGTAGGTACCAATGTAATTTTTTCCAAGTTATATGTACTTCCTAAAGATTATTTAGATACCATTCATAATAAAATTCATTCTGTCTCCTGCAGTAATTCACCGAGGGAAGTGGAAACTACCGTTTTTTCTTCTTCTCCTCTTATAATATCTTCTGATTCACTTCGTTGCGGGAATCAAGACAGTTACTCAAGTCTCTGGGACGCGCCGGACTTCAGTGTTCCGGCGTTTTCATGGTTGTATCTACTGTAGATCCTGGCTTACAGGAGTTGCAGCGGTTTAGGGAGGTTGTGGCGGGCTTGTCCCATAAAAAAATACCACTCGTAAACGGTGAAGGAAAATATCGCGAGGTAACCTGGACTTATAATTTCTAATTCTAAGTTTGAAGTGGCCAACCCGCATTGAGCAAGCGTGGTGATTAATGGTGAAACTTTAACCGTGTGAGAAGAGGCTTTGCTCAGCAGTATGCATTTAAAGGCTGTTGATGATTGATGAAACGAGGACCCGCCAAATACTGTTCTTACTTCCATAAATAAAATTCCTATTCAATATTATTTTTGACCTACGACTATTGTTTTTGTCTCTGCATCACCCAAAGGGTTGACTAGAGGAGAATGCCCATGGTATTAAGCCCGCCTTGTACAAATAGTGTGCATTAAGCCATTTAAAAAAAAAAATTCAATAATTGTTTACGAATGATTACTATTGTGCTAAGTCTCTATAATACATCAAAGACTTTGATTACATGCTAGGGAGCCGGAACGGTTGCCGCGCCGCCGGCGGGGACCGCAACCGGCGCTACGGCCGGTCGCCACAGTTATTATAACTTTACTAATCTCTCATTGTTATAGCTATTGCTTTACTATTCAGAAAATATGATTCGAGTATCAGAAACCTTTTTATGTTAAGTACGTGGGAATATTCCACAGTTAGTGATTCTCTTGATTCTGTATCTCACTGGGATAGGCTGCTTTGAGCATGTTTATGATAACCAATGGATGTAGAAATAGACAGACACTGCGAGGTATATTTTTCCACTTATTCAACATATTTCAGTGTATTCTAACTTTTTCAGAATAACATCTTTAATCGGTACCTTTGCTCTAAATATTGTATACTAAAATGTTTTAAAAATAGTTTTTTTTTTATTTCCTTTAAGAACTTAAAAATCGTGTGAATGTCATCACCTACTTTTTTCCGATGAACAAACAATTTTATTAAAACGCGTGAGAAAATATCGTGGTAAATATTTACAAAGTATTTTGACTAAACGAGGAGGAGATGTCTCCTATTATATCATCGCATTAAAACCGGAAGTAAGCACGTGGCGGCGCGTGCGCGGCGAATCGTCTCTTCCGGTTTCCACAACACCTTTTGTATATGGGATATTTCTGGTTAAACGTTACCTGTACTGTACTTCATTTTACTGTTATAACTTTTTAAGTTTAATTATGCATAATACAAAAAAAAAATAACATCCAAATTATTTTTTTATATCTAGTTGTTCAATACTTCATTGTGGCAATTGGCGTTGACTCTCTGCCTACGCCCATGGGAGACAGGCGTGAGGTTATGTATGTATGTTCAATATTAATTTAAAAATAAAACACGAAGGAAATATTC